TGAGACTCCATCTCCAAAAAAAAAAAGAGAAAGAAATATCCATGAGATAGACAGAAGCGGACAGGAATGAGCAGAGGTCTCTGTGAGAGTGTCCCCTCTGGGGGAGCCCCTGTGTGGGTCTGTCCTGGCACCCTTGGCTCTGGACCAGGGACAGGATGGGGCAGGGAGGTTCCTGGTGTCTGCGTGGCTCAGGCACGCCACCCTCTGCTCGGTCCCCAGCTCTCCATCCATGAGACCGAGGACCCCAATGACAACCGATACCTCCTGGTGATGAAGGGTGCCCCCGAGCGCATCCTGGACCGCTGCTCCACCATCCTGCTGCAGGGCAAGGAGCAGCCTCTGGATGAGGAGATGAAGGAGGCCTTCCAGAACGCCTACCTCGAGCTCGGCGGCCTGGGCGAGCGCGTGCTTGGTGCGAGGCTGCCGGGCGGGCTCTGGGGTCCCTAGAGGGCAAGGAGGGTTGTGATGCTGCCCAAAGCCTGGCTCAGTCCAGGGCCTCCCAGAATGTAGTGTGAATGAATGAATGAATGAATGAGAGGGGAAGGCATCCTAGGAAATGAATGCTGACCGGCCGTCTTGCCGATGGGGAGATGGAATGCGGGCGATGCAGACATCTAGGGGCATGGGGCAGGGGCTCCGAGGCTGGAACCCTCACACCCCAACCCTTCCCTGCCGCCAGGTTTCTGCCATTATTACCTGCCCGAGGAGCAGTTCCCCAAGGGCTTTGCCTTCGACTGTGATGACGTGAACTTCACCACAGACAACCTCTGCTTTGTGGGCCTCATGTCCATGATTGACCCGCCCCGGGCAGCCGTCCCTGACGCGGTGGGCAAGTGTCGCAGCGCAGGCATCAAGGTGTGGCTTGGGGTGGCTGGGGAAGGCGAAGCCAGACATGGGGCAGGGGAGGCCATCCCTAAAAATCAATGCCTGCAGGTCATCATGGTCACCGGCGATCACCCCATCACGGCCAAGGCCATTGCAAAGGGCGTGGGCATCATCTCTGAGGGCAACGAGACTGTGGAGGACATCGCCGCCCGTCTCAACATTCCCGTCAGCCAGGTTAACCCCCGGTGAGCCACCCATCCCAACCAGGACCCTGGACATCCCTCTAGGGTGTTGACACAGGGGCACTGCCTCCCTGCAATTTCCCACTGCACTGCCCGTCCTGTTCTTTCTGGGACTTCTCCATGGACCAGGCCCTGGGTCCAGCCCTCCGTCCAGTGTGGGGACATTGCAGCCACAGAGGTAGCCAGGCATAGGTTTGCTTCCCAGTCTTTTTTTTTTTCTGAGACAGAGGCTCGCTCTGTCATCCAGGCTGGAGTGCAGTGGCGCAATCATGTCTCACTGCAACCTCTGCCTCCCAGGTTCAAGCAATTCTGTGCCTCAGCCTCAGCCTCCCAAGTAACTGGGATTACAGGGGCCCTCCACCACACCTGGCTAATTTTTTTTGTACTTTTAGTAGAGATGGGGTTTCACTATGTTGGCCAGGCTGGTCTCGAACTCCTGACCTCAGGT